GTCATTCAGCGATTAAAAAGATTGGATGGGCCTCACCCTCCATGCTACATTGTAATAAAAAAGAGAAAAGAGGAAAGAGAGTTAATTGGACAGTACACCCTAACCCTTTTGCACACCTTTTAGCAAAAAAGCGTCCTGTGTAATTCTCCTGAAAGGTCCTAGGCTTGACCAAGTAAACATAAAACAATATAAATGGTCACAGAAACGAAGGCCGTTGTTTCTTACTGCAATTGCCTGGGTGTGGTGGTGTTCTTCCATCACCTCCCCAAGACTGTTTTGTCATTGTATGTCAAGACAGAATTTTGTGTGGGGAAGAGGAGGTGAGAATAAAACTGTCAATTCTATTTAGTGGTACATGGAGGAGACTAGCAAGAAAAAACCTAAACGGAACAAAAAAAATACCGTTATATAACAAACTGTACATTTTACTAGCTTACCTTGTATGGTACTACCTGTAAACCCTACGCTAAAGATATATGTGCAGGGACAAATTCCTCTCTCGTTCATCCTTCTGTAACATAAATAAAAGGTTACTCTTGACTCCTACCCTCGAGGTTATACGAGTGGTGGTCTTGGTGTGTTCTCCGTGTCAGGAAGCAATTTCTAGACTCTACGTGTAAAGAGACGAGCTCAAACAAAGAGAGGACCCGATCATCTATATATATACACATCTGACCTTAACAGGTGACAGTCTTCTGGGACCAAACCCACCTACCCAAATATAACAACAAGAAAAACACAAAACGCAAACACAATGTAATATATGATTAGCAATTTTCTATTTTCGTCACTGTTAGGCAATCAACATATGATACCTCTGTTCTTATTATGTTGTATAATTTATATTAGGCTGTCTATAGTCGTAGTCGATACGTTTCGTACTTTTAGAAAGAACCTTTATAATCTTCCGATCCCTGTTTCTTTAGGGTATTGTCGTTTGCCTTATCTCATCATATGTAAGAATTTTTTCGTTCTGTTCGACTAACCATAAGAATGTTCTTTGGAAAGAGAGGTCTATGACTTTAGAATTTAACTTTTGTCTAACCTATCCAGGTCCACATAGAGAGTAGATATTATGCGTCATGATCTACCTGGTCGATAACACTATTTGTTTTGAACGGGTATAACTTAATCATGTTTAATCAATAGAGAGTGTATTACCATCCAGACTAAACCAACAACCATGATAAAATATCTTTGGCTAGTGGAAAAATTATAGATACGAGGTTATCTATTTACAAGTACAGACTGTACCACGATCGAGAACTACTTTTGACGTTACATCCTCAATCTCTAACTACCCGCCGCTAAAATTGACGTTGAGTAGATTGTGTCGGCGGGACTCTTAGTTGAAGGCGCACTATAATCTCCCTGTCGATAACCCACTCTATTCGTTTTGACGTGAGCACCGCGCGAATAAAGCTAACGTACATCACTAATTCTGTATTTAGTACTCAATGGCCCTGGATGTCTCCGCTTCAACTATTCGTGAGACCTTGATCTGTCTACTAGACAATCTTCCATATCTGCCTACTAGACATCTAAGGAACAACCAATGATAAACCGTGGGGTTAGGTGGAAAATTAGATCATAGCCATGAAGTGCACGTCTCTCAGTACTTACTCTGACATCGTTAATCTTGATGTATAGACTATAGGATACAAAAAGCTGGTTTACTCGTACATCGAGGAAGAGACGCAGCTGCTTAACAAAGGTGTCGGCTTCTTTGGGATCTTCAAAAAAAACAATCTTCTCTTTGTGAAGAATACGGAGCCGATGAGGATAAGCAAACCCTCTGAACATGCCTTTTTCGAGGAATAATTTGATCACCAGGTCGAACTCCTTGCGCTTTCGGCGTACCTCTGCAGACAGATCCTGGCGAATGGTGAGTTTAGTATTACCCTCGTGGATTGACATTTTCTTCGCAGACTGCAGTATCATTTCTTTATCTCTGACTCGTAGAAAGCGGATCATAATTGGTCTTGGAGGCTTCCCTGGTTCGGGATATGGTCGTAGAGAGCGGTGAACCCGCTCCAACTCTAGGTTCTGATCGAGGGAGAGTTTGAGCCAGGAAGATAGTTTTTGTTGAATATATTGAAGTAGTAATTGGCTGCCTTCTGACTTCTCTGGGAGCCCTAGTAAAACAAGGTTTTTACGTCTCCCTCTATTTTCTAGATCATCCGTCTTAGATTCCAGCGTCTTTATCAACTTTTCGGCTCTGTGAAGGTCCCGTGCTGTAGTTTGTAAGGTGTCTTCTAATGTCGAAATTCTTTGTTCAGCTTCGTCCATACGCTGAAGTTGATTCTCAAGGGCCTGGTTTGTTGTAGCTAGTGCTTCTTTCATTGTTGAGACTTGACTAGTCACAATCTCCAAACGATTATCAATTCCATCGAGACGATTAATTATCTCAGAACGTTGAGATTTTAACTCGGACATTATCTCAGCAAACGAAGGATTTCTATCATCCTCTTGAGACTCATCCTCCGGTTCTGGTAGGTCTTGGTTGCCTCGTGGGTTTCTTCTTGGCATCCTTCCTTCTTTGTCTTTCTTTTTGTAGCAAGAGTCTTTCCTTAGATGTCAACTCTTAACTATATCAATAAAGATGTTAAGCTTTTTCTCTGAGTGGAGGTAAAAAACTCAAATTAATCACTGAGGTTGTGCGGAGCTCTCAGCTCAGGCTGCCATCTTGTTCCTCTCGGCCTATATATATATATATATATATATTATCGGTATATCTGGTGATTATTTTTTAGAATGAGTTAAAAGTATGGTGTGTCAAATCACAAAATAGTGAAAAATCTCCATCCAAGTTCGTTAAAGTCTGAGGTGATGTCTTGAATGTCTTGTCAGTCTCAAGCCCAAAAACATTTAGTTTAATATGATATAAAACTGAGAAAAGGAGGTAATTATCAACTCAAAAGTGATAGTGTTTGCAAGCACCAGGGTTCCTATAGAAAATCTAAAATGTTACTGCAGCAGGGTCATTATTATCAAAATATAGTTTTCCTCCATAACATCCAATCCATACTACAAAAAAGTAATGGTAACAATAAAGACAGCAGCCTCTAAGAACATTGAAACTGTGTTAACCTTGTAAGTAAATCTTAAACACTATTAAAAAAACATAAACCAATTCAGTTTTAAAGGTACAAAAATGAATACAGATTGTATGGAAATCAGCCTCTACGAATCATAACACTGTGTTTCATAAAATAGGACACACAGAGGAAAAGCAGGAGAGAAGAAGGGAGATGAGCCAGAGGGGCTCAGGTGTTTTTCCCTCACAGTAATGTAAGTCAATTCAAAGCGTGAGATGGAGCTTTAAGTCAAAACACAAACATTCTGACAGCCGTGACCCTGAATATCAACACTAGGTTGAAATATGATGCGCACGTACTTCTGTACTTCTGTTGATTGAGAATCTGAGCGAGAGTGAATGAAACAGTGACAGAGAGAAACAGTATGGAGGACTGCGGCTGCCAAGAGAAAGGAAAACATTACTAAATGTGCCCTTGAGAAATATAATAACCTGTGATTATTTGCTCAACTAGAATAACTCACATTTACCATTTTCAAACCGTGCTGCAATTTCCTGCTGGCTGAACTCATTTAGAAAGGAGCCAAAGTAAATGGCAAATTCATTTCATTTGGGCTTTTTAGTCCGAGTGAAATGAAGGTCCTTTAAGCACCCTGACCACAGAGACTTAGAAAACATGTATTTGTTATCCCTGGATCAGTATTTATAGACTTTATATGTCAAGATCTGCTTACTATGTGATTCATCCTTTGAGTTTATGAGCTGTTCAGACTGGACAGCACATCTGCAGAAAAAAGGAACGTAAGAAATGTTCAACGTGCGCGTGTGAATGTATGCATTGAAACTGTGAGATATGAACTGAGATCTTCTCATGTGGATTTGAAGTGTTAACTGTATCACATAAATGCTGAACTATTCCTTTAAGGTGAACAAGTGGCAATCCGTCATCATTTCAAATCCACTTTTGAGAGTTTTTTGAGACCTCTGAAGGTCCACTGATTTGTTTTTGACGTGGGGGCTACAGAGCATAAATGAATAAAAACATCTATCGTATCAATGTAGACTATTGACTGCAACACAACAAGCTCGGACTTATCCATCTATTGTTTATATGTATATTTATCAAACATACACAGTTGCCAACGTGT